AAATAAAGGCTTCAGCCCTGAATGAGAGGTGTAAAATAACTGTTTACTGCTAATGCTGCCCTTCTTTTCAGTGGGATTTTGCATGCCGCCTTAAAAAAAGAACCTGAAAACATGAGCCATATTTGCAAAAGATGTAGTAAAAAAAAAAAAGAGAGATGAAAATATTAATACACTCCACAAATAATGGGTCAAATTCACTTCAGTAGAATAACACTGAAATCCAAGAAGTGTTTGACGAGGAATAACTATTGCCCCAAATGACCAAGCAGCATTTATAGTGACCTTTGCAATAGACTTTACTTACTTTATCTGAAATATGTTAAGAAACCTTCTATGTTCTCATAAAAATTGATGGAATAAAATTAGGTCAATGCAGAGCATGTCAGAAAATCCCACTTTAGTCTCCTACCCAAACTTGAGATCCAGTATGTGCTTACATGTTTTGTCTTCGGATTATACTACTGCTTGTATGTATTGCCTAGTTCTGTATAGCTGCTTTTCTACAAAAATCTCTCCTTGCAGGGGATCTGTACACCGGTTTCTAAGACTTAAGTGCATCAGCTGGCAGAACTACTGCAAAGATTTCCTAGTGAGAGACAGACCATAAAATAATTATAGGTGATAGCAAACAGACAGAAACCTTTAGGTGAACAGCTATGTTTAGATAAGCAAATATTTGTATTCTCACACCCAGGAGTTGATGCAGCTGCAGTTTCAAATAGTTAAATGTAGCAAGGTCTATGTCCCAGCATCAGAGAACTTCCTTGGCATGCCTGTGAAGTTGTCATATTTTATAACCATAAACCATTTGTTCCAGGCTTGATATTCTGAGTAGTATATAATGGACCATATAACTTCATTTTACTCCTACCACGTAAATGCCAAATTTCTCAACAGCCATTACTTACATTTGACATAATGTGACAAGTTACAACATTTTAGTAGGTGTCTGGGCCCACAATAGTATAGTCAATGCAAAATCTCTGTTCCAGCCTCCTGGGAAAGAGAGGGAAAGTATGGGGAAGGGGTGAGACCAGGACATGTTGGAAGGAATACAGAAATGGGGCAGAGAGCAGTAAAGAAAGGACATGACAAGAATAGCAAATGTTCTGGGGAACAGAAGAGGGTGTGGGGAGTCCTTCCCAAACCCCCAAGAAGGATGTCTGCATTTCTGTGCATGCTTTTAACTTTAAACCATGGTCTGAAATGCTCCCAAGTCAATTAGGAGGTGGATACATTCCCTAGATGCCCCCAGAATCAGAAGACATCTTTATTTTGGAGTCTGGCCTGTGAGAGGTTGACAACATAGGGTATCCAGTGCTTCCTTCCAACTCCAACTCCACTGTTGTTCCACAGAAGCACCAGAACCAGGGAGAGGAGGGCAGCCAGGGAATCAGGGAAGGGGAAGAGGCAGAGGTCAGCCTCTCTCTGGTCTGTTCTGCTTTGTCTTGCCAATATTCTGTAACATAAATAGCCCTGCCACAAACTGCTTAGCTTTGCATTTTGAAAATAACTAGTCCCATTGAGTGAGGGCCTCATTGGGAAAGCAAGTTTTAGGGATGTACCTGGAAGCCATAAAAGCCGGCAGATGCAGGGCTATGGCATTGAAAACACAAATAAGGCCACTGGGCAAACACCTGTCCTACAGCTTCTTAACACTGTTGCTGACCCCTCCTTTAGGTAACCTCAGGACTGTTGAAGTCACTGTTGAATTTTCTTCATACGTTCACTGAGCAAGACCTAGGAGCCTGGATTCTCAAGAAGAAGCCTAGGGAGGGAACAGGAAACTAGTGTAGAGTTTCTGCATATCCTCCCATGGGGACTCTTCCTCACACCTGCTGAGCCTCAGCGGATCCAAAAGAGTCATGAAATTTTTTTACTTTCAAGAGTCCTGTGCTTCTGCTCCATCCTGGCCTCTGACTTGTCATCACTAAGACAAGAGAAGGGGAAGGAAATTAAAGCAGAGGCAAGAATACAATGAGCCAGGGGCCTGGGAGAAGTATGAGGAAATTAAGGACACAGTGTCAGCAACTCGGAACATATGTACTGGTATTTATGAGCAGACATGCACTCAAGTTACAAGTGTCCATACAGCTCCAGAAGAAGAATTCCTTAAGTTTCATGGATTTGACTCTGGCCCTAGAAAACAACCCTGTAAGAGACACAAAACATGCTCGATGGTTCCTTGATGTCCTGACAAGGAACAAATTTTATGGTTGTCCAAGCGAAGAATTTTGAGGGACGGTCTGACCACAGACACCCCAATAAATGAATGGAGATGGCAGCACTTAGGACCCAGCAAGCCTATTTTATGCAAAGCAGCATAACCCCTTTGGATTTTTGTAGTCTTAAGCCTTGCACAATCCTTCACTTCCAGACCTTGTTTTAAAAAATACATTAAAAAAGAAAACATTTAAAGAGGTCATCCAGGGTGAGATGATGAGAGAACCTCTTGATCAAAGGAAATTGCTCCAGCAGCCGGCAAAGCAAGCCAAGCAAAGTGAAAGCCTGCTCCCACACTCCTGGCCCTCACTTGGAGCCCAGTTCCTTCTATTCCTACTGCTAGAATTAGATCAGGTGATTATTACAGAGCAAATTTTGTCTTAGCTCCCTCCCTTGAGGTCTCCCACAGAGGACAAGGAATTGAGATAAGAGCTCATTCACATGAGTTCCCCACCTTGCCATCCTAAACAAATCTTGTGCTTCTGTCCAGCACAGGGAGTACAGTTTCCCTTCCCTTCTTTGAACATTTAGCCAAGATTTCCTAGAAGTGGACCATGACTCAAGGTGGGTATGTGACTGTCTAAGGCTTACTCACCTTAGAAAAAATGAATATATTGTGATCAGGAGCAAATCTTGCTCTTGCTGTGTGGCCACATCTTCTACCAGAACCCAGGGCTGCTCACTCAGGATTTTACTGTGACACTTGCTATGACATTTACAGTTCCGTTAAATCCCATGTCTGGGGTCATGTGGTTAGATGAATGTCTAAGATTTATTATTTTTATTATTTTTGTTAAGAGAAGTTTCTAGCTCTCCTAGTTGCAAAGAAGGGCTTGAAGATATGAACCCTAAAAGTTCGAAGGTTAGAAAGGTGACATTTATTTTAAAAAGCCCTGATTTGGGAGACCTGACTCATGATAGCCTATTTTATGCAAAGCAGCATAGCACCCTTTTATTTTCTATTCATAGGGATTACCTTGCATAATCCATCTCTAATGTGGTTTAAAGGCACATTAATACATTAAAAAAACATTACCA